AAATATTATACAATATAAATATTATATAATATAAAATTTGTCCTACTTTTAATTATTTTACTATTAAATTGCACAGGACTGAAAAAAATTATATGGAAGTAGACTCACTTGAATATTCTTAATTAAATTAGTAAATTAGTTAAACTCAACAGTTTCTTAACTCAAAAGCATAAGATAAAATTGTAATATTAACTTTGTTGAGATCCTGATTTAACAGCAATTTAGGAATTGCTACTTTAAAGACTTTTTTATGGTAATCACAAGCTAAGACATATTTGACAAATGACCTGCTAAACAACGCTAATTTATTTAATTTCAAATTGTTTAAGTTCTTATGAAAATGACTGTCTTCTGTTTCAGACATGAGAAACTTTGGTGGAGGAAGAAAAGAAACCCTTTGATACTTTGGCTTCAATAGCCTGCTGACCTCTCCTCTGAAGGCCGGACCATAAACAGGTAATGCAAAACAAAATATCAGGTGAAACATATTGAGAATCAGGATAAGATCAAACCTTTGCAAGTTCTTCAATCTCATTGCCAAAATTTGTTTCTCCCTCTGGAACCTCCTCGTCTTCAGGTGTTTGATCATCATCAAAATCAGGCAACAGCATTTCTGTTGACGGGGGAAAATCAACATAGTCAAAATCAAACTAAACTCTTTATGAGAAAGAGAAATGGCATTAAACCATGAATATGTATATTGATATGTTTTACCATGATAGGAAAACTGGTAATCGTCTTACCTGGGCTTGAACTCCCCAAGGAGGGCTAAAAATAAGACATCAGTTTATAACCTTTTTTTTTTAACAACAAAAAGAAAAATATGCAATCATTATTTAATTGTGCAATTATCATAAAGTCAAACAAAACCTGTTATGCTGTAACAGTTAGATGAACAGTAACAAAGACAAACATTTCTATGTGGACTAATGAATACAGTATTAGGTGTGATTTTGAGTCGCTGTTGGATGTCCACTATAAATTCTGGGTCCAGATATGAAGTCAGTTGGGAACCACTGGAAAAAATTACTTTTGTTTACAGTGTACAAATTTTTATCCAGATTGTGGTTTACTTCGACTGTATAAATTACTCTATTTGCATGTGTATGGCATGCATTCAGGCAGGCCTAAAACAGAAAAAAAAACACTAGAACAGTTTTCCAGTGCTCTATTTTATTTTAATTTTACTTTCAATATACATCAACAAAAACTTACAGCAGGCCAGTGTTAGAACATCCATGATAAACCAGAGGAATCAGTGACGCCGTGTGTATATTGTGTGTGTGTGTGAGAGAGAGAGAGAGGGAGAGAGAGAGAGACAGACTTTGGAAGTTGAGGCTGATGTGTAGCTAATACTTTGCTTAGCATTGATTAGGAACAATTTATAAGTACAAATCTGGGTTTTAAAAAATCCATGAATTCAGGATTTAGCATAAATAATCAGTACAATCGTCGTTGTTTGTGTAAATATATTAGATATAATTAATGTATGGTAATATATTTAAGTATGGTTATAATAGAGTAGCAGGCTAACTGGAGACGAGCTAACTGCTATTATAACTTTGCAGAAATAAAATTTAAAAGAATTCAACGCGTTTTCCGACCTAAAACACCGCACAACTTAATAGGAAATATATACGACACAATGTAATTTTCAAATACATCATGAACTATATTTTGCGGTTAATTGCAAATAAAAGGTGATTTATTTCTGGAAAATAATGAGAATTTCCTTCTTACCTCCGCCATATTTACAGAGCTGCTGAGGGTCAGCGGAATGTGGGCGGAGTTAACGGAAATTCCCGGATGCTCTCTCTCTCTCTCTCTCTCTCTCTCTCTCTCTCTCTCTCTCTCTTTTTTTTTTAAGACTGGGTCACACAAGACTAAATAAGACATTACATCTCATTGGAAAACATCCCACAGGTCTATGTGAGTATTGTCAGGAGGAGGAATCAGTAGAACATGTTCTATGTCACTGCCAAAAATATATTACAGAAAGAGAAATATTCAGAAGGACACCACAGGTCAGGAGATACTAGATGCAAAGCAAATACTTGGTCAAACAGGAAATCATAATTCTTTAATTGTATTCTTGAGGGAAACTGGGTTAATAAATAGAATATAAAGTATAATTGTTATTATTAATAATAGTTTTTTTATTTAATAAAAATTATTTAAATTTTTTTATATATAAAGTTCTGTTAGTCACTCTGGTCCATACTCCAGTATAGTAGGTGGCGGTAATGCACCTTAACGTTGGATGCCACCCGCCATAAAACATGTGAAAGAAGAAGAAGAAGACAAGAACAGGTGGTGGCGGTAAGACGTAATTCATCATATGTTTATCTATGCTTTCTATACCACAAATATGTATATTATGGTAGCTTGTTTCAATACAATCATAATTTATTTCCTTTGCGTTATATCTTGCAGCTTTAGTAATTAGATTATTGTTGACAGATACATGTTACAGTGAGACAAAACGATGACTGCATATGCATCGAAAGCGAAGCCTTCAGAGTTGGTAGATTGTATCGGTGTCCTTTTTGTGCAATACAGTACAGAATACATTCTGTAAGTATAATAATTATTACCACCTCTGCTATTACAACTGTACTAAGATCCATTCACAATCTATGAAGATGATTAGACAAAATCAAAAAACTAATTTAGAGTTTGTTTCTACCTTTCTGCTAAGTATCCAACTAATGCAGAGTATAATCAAGTTGCAAACACACTGATTGTGAAGTACCCTTTCCTGAGAGCTATGGAAGGAAATGATCCATTGATTTATCTTCATCAACATAATCACACAAGATATTGTAGTAACAATATCTTGTAATCTTTACTTGCTGGAAAATGACAAACAGTCAAATTTGTGTCTTTAGCACATCTGACACATGTCCCTAAACCATATGATGCTGCTAAAAAGAACATTATTTTGTGTATTTGGTGTAATGAAATGTGTTCATTTGGTTTAAAGTAAAAAAAACACATTATTTTCCACATACTGTACATTATTGTTTCTCCTCTATGCCCCGCCTTTTTGAAACGCCAATTTTTACAAAACTCATCGGTCTGAAAAGCGAGGTGTGCTGTGATTGGCCAGCTATCCAGTGCGTTGTGATTGGCCGAATACCTCAAGCGTGTGACGGAAATGTTACGCCCCTCACCATACTGTGATGCCCTGTCCGGCCGGAGCGACGAGACAAAAACATTAAAACCCATTACAAATGAGGCATTTGTTGCATCCAGTGGGGACATAATTACTGATTATAATGACTTATACTGTCTTTTTACGCATTGCGTTGCATTGCATCGTGCCGCATAAACATAAAACCTTTACTTGCTGGAAAATGACAAACAGTCAAATTTGTGTCTTTAGCACATCTGACACATGTCCCTAAACCATATGATGCTGCTAAAAAGAACATTATTTTGTGTATTTGGTGCCTTTAAAGAAGAACGTGCACCACTTGCAGGTTTGTGTCAAAAGCCATGCATAATTTATTTTTGCACTGTTACTCAATTTTACATTTTCACTTGGTGCAGGACAATGTAAGGAAGATACTAGACATTTAAATTCCACTTTTTCACTGCCTGACCATCGTCTTAATGTTTGTGCAGTTCAATGTGTTTTTTTTTTGTCTAAAGCACCTTATTGTTCAATAAGTGTTTAGATATTTCACATATCTGTCTTAGCTGTTATCTGTCATGGTCTAAGCATTATCTGTTTCTGTTGTTCTGATGAAGGAAACTTGTGTTGGGGAGGATTCCATGTCTGTTGAGGCCCATGTGAATGTGCTACAAATTGAGTATCGGAAAACTCATCCAGACATCTCGACTGTCCAAGACCACATGGCACGAACATTCTCCTGGAGACGTTGAGAAAGCATGGAAGGAATGTCTGTGGAGGATGTACTCAAAAAATACCCATACTTAAGGACACCTGCTGGAGTGAGTATAGTAAAAAAAAAAACATTAGCATCTTCTGTACCCTTTTAGCCCATCTGTTTAAAATCTTAAAACAATGGTTTTAGAAAACAATGTAAGATTTATCAGTCTATACAAGAACATGAAATGCATCATATATTGTGAACCTTATACTAGCCTTCTAATTGTTTTTGCAGTTCTGCACTGTATGTAGCTATACTGAGCCAAAGAGGCTGTAACAAAATTTGATGAATTTGAAAAGCTTTTTAAAGTATTTTTTAAAATTATTATTATTATTATTATTTTTAATGTAGGGGGACCCTGCTACACCCTTTCCAACCATACAACTGATGGATACTGACTGGAAAATGGCAATCATAGGAGGAGGGCTCAGTGTGGTAAAAGTAGATGGAATAGAGATGTGCCAGTGCACCAGCCTTGATGAAGCCTTCATAACAGCCTTCTGTATGTATTTTGCTTTCAACGTTGCATATCCACCACACCTGAAAAAGACACTGACTTTCCTTCAGAGGCACATTGTCAACATTGTGGAAGAGGGAGACAAGCTGCTGCCAGTAACTTTACTCCGGATGATTCAGTGTGGTAAAAGTAGATGGAATAGAGATGTGCCAGTGCACCAGCCTTGATGAAGCCTTCATAACAGCCTTCTGTATGTATTTTGCTTTCAACGTTGCATATCCACCACACCTGAAAAAGACACTGACTTTCCTTCAGAGGCACATTGTCAACATTGTGGAAGAGGGAGACAAGCCACTGCCAGTAACTTTACTCCGGATGATTAGCCTTTTGTATTAGATCCTCATGCCTCAACTGTACCATTGCCCAAAGTGCACTGGAAGGACATTCACACTTTTGAAGTTAATCCAACATGTTACATGCACATGAACCAAATTTTAGTATAACCTGTGGTATAGATGAGTGCCAATTAACTTTTTTGTGATTCCATTCTTTTAGAAAACATCTAAAGGAAGCATATGCACTTCATTTTTGGGCCTTTTGGTAACAAAAATGACTGTCTCAGTGAAGAGTCAGCAGTACAATTATATTATAATATAATTGAATATTATATATAAGTATTAATAGAAAGAATTGTTGCCCCCTTTACACCTTTCATTAGTCATCGAAAAATGGTCATTTACTCACCCTCATGGTGTTCCAAACCTTCTTTAATTGAACACAGAAGATATTTTGAGGAAACAAACAAACAAACAAAAAAACTATAGAAATCAATAGCTACCATCAACTGTTTTGTTACCAACATTCTTTAAAATATATTTTGTGTTTAACAGATGAAAACCTCATACAGGTTTGGAACAACATAAGGATGAGTAAACGATGACGATTTAAATTTTTTGGGTGAACAGACTGTTTAAGTTGACACTGATAATTAGTAGGTCTAAAGAGGGACAAAAGTTTTTTAAAAAGTCTGCAGAAGCACAAGAATAGGATTAGGGGTCGACTGATTATCGGCCTGGCCAATTATCGGCGCCGATATTAAGCATTTTTATGATTATCGGTATCGGTCATTTTCAAAACCGAAAAATTTTGAAACGCGCTATTTGGCTCTGATGCAGCCTGTCAGAACTCACCACTCTGTGGCCTAATGCAGTCTCCGCCCACCGCTCATCTGATTTGTTGGGAGTCATGAGTCTGACCAATCAATGCGGAATTCACTCTGACTCTGAAAGAGAAATTATTCAATTTTTTGGTCAAACTCCACATATTAGAAGGCTGAATCAAAAAAGTAAACTAGAAATTACTATCAATGATTTACTCTTAGACTCTTAGACATGCAGAGGAGGCATCATCGGAAAGAAAAAAAGAAAGCAGAAATGGACAAGAAGAGAAGCAGAAGTGACCAGATAGGAGACGGTGTGCATGCTCTTGATGGCTAAGGAACTTCTTCGGATAATTCGGCAACACGAACGTATAAATAAACGATTGATGAAAAAGGTTAAACAATTTATTGAAGTTAATGAGTTTAATTTGAGAATAGAATCTTTGCGGGGTGAGGTTGACTGTTTGAACATTCAAAGAGCCAATGCCACCTCCAAAGTATAAACATTTAACTGACATCCTGTCAAAAAGCGAGAGCAGGTGTCGCTATCTGGGTTAACAGTTAACGAATGGAAAAATGTTGAGGTGTGAAAACCTGCTCGTATATTTTTGCAAAGGTGTTGCTGCATTGTAGTAATGTAGATGCGTAATTGTGGTTAGCACAAAAAGGTCAGACATCCTGTGTTAGCAGATAGGAGGTAAACTTTGTTTGAACTTCTTTGCATATATTTTTGGAGATGTACTCGTGTGTATATGCTGTGCTTAATGTGATGATGTAATGGTATCGCAACCCGCTGAAGCAAGGGGCGTGACCAAGTGTTTTGTGTGACTTGCATTTATCCAATAGAGAGTTTTAATAGATGCTTTGCAGGAGAGGAATTTTGTATACGCCCTCTTCTACATAATCCAGTGCTTTATGATTTTGCGAGGCCGAAAACCGGGTGAAGACTATACGCTGTTACTTTCTTGTTATTTGCTTATGAGTTATTGTTTTTAATAAAGCTAAACCATTTGTATATGGTGATTCGATAAACTTTTCTTTAAACAAGTCTCTGAGTAATTTATTAAGAGTAACTCATTATCTGAATTTAGTTCATAAATCTCCAATGCGAGCCTCATAGTGGTAAGAACCCTGCTGAGCTGACCAGGACGTTGTGCTGTGGATCCTGAACTTCATATTACACTTCTCATCCATAATAGGAGGTAAGGGCTGTATTTGTTTATGGCAGCTACCTATGGGGAAAATATGTGATTATAAGGTTTATTGGCTCTTTACAAGCAGAATTATATAACATGGCGCCCAATGTGGGAGGCTCGAATAATAGAGTAGAAAATTCAAGGATAATAGAAAACATGTAGTAACCCAGAAAGTCCTTGCAGATCACGACCACAATAGTAGTCCAGAAGGACTGTTGTCTTTTTCGTGCGCACAGGCTTAAGTAAAGACCTGAGAAATAAAGACAAAGGGCTCAATAAATTCTCAGAGGAGAACGAGCCCTGTTTGAGTGTAAAGCTAAATCAAGAGCGGATTCGAAAGTGAATTATAATGGGGCAAATGACGATGGTCAGTCTCATCGCTCAAGATCTAGCTGGAAGATTAGACTGGATTAATCCCACACAGTGTAGATGTGGTTCTGGTCAAATTCTGTGGCACGAGATAAGGATGATGGCTTCAGTGGTGAATTTCAGAATATGTGAGGGAGCGGAAATCCCACCCTTTGTCTATTCGAGTAGAGGGGGAAGGGATGGATATCCCAAAGTTAG